CCCCCACCTCCTCCCTTCTGTGGCTGGCCATTTTGCTCACTGCTGTCCACAAATCAGCACTGAACACGTGTCTAGGGATTTAAAGTTGAGGCCGTTATTCACCGCAAATATGCCTCACAGAACTCAGATTGCAGTTAGAAATCAAACTCGATATTTATATGTTCATGTTAACGTGCAGCTTTGCTATCGCTACATCCACATTCGCCTTCACTATACATCTTGCTAGGTCTATATTAGGAGGGAATAAGAATCATCGTAAGAGGAAAACTCAACCGCCTCCCACAGTCATATTTACTACCAAGTGGTCATATTTCGCATTCATTCAGTCGGCATTCCATTATCTGGCCTTCGAGGATAAATTTTTACGCATGTCGCGTTTTTAAGAAATATTTAGTCAAATCGCGGTATTTGCAAAGATTTTTTGTTTGCTTCGGGCTTCATATATGTTCTAAGCTAGCAGATTTTTAGATATCCTTGTAAACGAGCATGCGGCTTTTAAGGTTTTATGATTGGTTTTCTTGTACCAGTTTGTCATGACTACATAACATTTATCTTTACTGCGGTAATTTTAGTGTATTCTCTCTATTGCGTTTTAGCAAAAGATTGCTTAAATTGCGATTAAATGAATAATTAGAAATGGGAGACGTGAGAAACTGATCGTGTCTTTTTGTTGAACAATGTGATTGTGGACTGCGGTTTTTGAAAACCCATGGAGGCATTGTGTTGAAAATTACTAAGTCGTTTGAGATACGCTCCACCTCATCCAGAGGAGGGAGGTACTGGTGGGCCCGTTCAACTAAAACGTTTGCATTCTCCTTTCATTATATCGTCATAAAACATGATATGAGCATAACCATTGTCACCACAGTGTGCCCACTGTTTTAAGTTGTGGGGTTTGTATGTTTTGGCACTTAGGCTGGAGTTTGCTAGACGACATTCTGGAAACTGCATTAAATACAATCAGTCTTATTGATTCCTAAAACGTTGTACGTTCTTTTTAGTTTTGTAAGCGAGCGTTTGCGAGAACTTTTGAAAGCTCAAATTCAACATGGCATGCGGAACTCCTCACCTAACTTAATGAGTCTCATTTTTTCTTACCGAATGAAGACTTACTTCAGTCAACTCGCTTGTGCTTTCTTAGAGCAATTGAACTTGGTGTCTGATTTGTGACCTTTTCCTTTCAGGCCGTCAATCTCGCAGGTTAATCAACAACAACAACAACCCGTTGTAGGTGGGCCTAATCTGCAGGTGAATCAAGCATCATCAACTACTCAAACGGTTAATGGCAAGTCTTTGCAATCATCTTATTCGCCGTCTTTGGCCTTTTATAAGATTGCGCTATTGAATGATGCTGGGAAATTTATTGATCGTTCGTTTGCATTTCAGCAACCACCCACGCCAATGAAATATTCTTGCCTCCACAATGCTCTATAGCTGCGTGTTTCCTTGAAAAGGTGAGTGTATTACCTTCAGTAAGATGAAACGGCCGGAATTTACTCCTATTTGTCCATTTGGAGGATTTTAAAAGTGATTTGGAAAATGACATTAGCATTTCGTTTTGGTGATTGGTGGAAATATTCTAAGCTTTAAACTGGATTCCAGGTCCTATGTTTTCATTGGCTGTCTTCAATATTCCGTTCCTTGTTTTTTAGACCTCTCATAGTGCGAAGTCTTCACCTTTGGATCAGAAGGGGTTTGATTATGACAGTGATGACGACTCTAGGGTGACCGCTTCCTACGAAAGTTATTCAAACGGTGTCAAGCATCTTCTGCGATCTACTTGTCGTTCTTCAAGTGGCGTTAGCTCTTCTGCAATCCCACCCAAAAAACTCAGAGATAAGTTTGAGCCAACTGACTTCTTCGAGGTTTGTGATTATTCCTCACTAGACCTTGCTTCACTATCACTTTTTTAATCCCGTATTCTCTCTTTTTTTGTAGGAAAATTCTCCGGTGCCTCCTGGCCAGTCCATCGTTCTTCAATCTGGCTGTGATCTCAAAATCACTCGCTTACCTCCAGATCTCGGTAATATTGAATTCAGTGAAGCTGCTGTTAATGGGCTCGGAAATAGGAACGAGGCGGAAGAGCTAAATTTGCTGGACCCGAAGGAGGATTTTGGCTCTTCTGATAAAGAGTGGTTTAATGGGGACAGCTTCTCTTGGCGACTTATGCGTCTTGCCTTTGCTCAACTCATGCAAAAGCAAATTGGGGCTCTGGTTAAGCTTCTCAATCTCGATAATGAATGTGAGTCTATTTCGTTTTGGGCTACTCATTCTCTCCAAGTACTTTTCACTTCTTTATTCTCCGCCACTAGTTGTGATTCTTTATTCATCCCTTGAATTATAGAACAAGTTGCTCGTGATGCTTAGCTCTTATGGGGGATGGCTATTTTATTAAGACGACCCATATTACTTATTTACTACTCTCTTATATGTCTAATTTCAAGGTGGCACATGCTTGTGTGTTTTAAAATACCCCTTTTCTACAACTATTAGCAGGGAAATGAGATCATTTTACTAGCGGAAGACAACCCTCCCCCCTCCCCTATAGTTCAATCAAAATAAGCTTCAATCTTTTTTGTCAATTTTTTGGGATATGATCATCTTGGATAGTTTTTTGTAAATGAACGGAGGCTCTTTACGACTTTTTGAATCAGATATTCTCTAAAAAGCCGTCCTTTCAATTATATTCTACTAACTAATCAATTGAATCACATTCCATTCAACTACTAGCGCAAAATATTCATTAATTATCAGGTCACTTCAAGTCCTATTTTCACAGTGTGGTAAAACTGTCCTGTTTCAGCACCCCTTGCTTTATCCCAATCTCGAGAATAGTTTCTCTGAAAACGATGCTTTCGAAGGCAAGAAGTAGTTGTTAATGTACATTGGCAGGTGGTGGATTGAGTTGATAAACAATGAGAAAGGAATAACGACTGTCCCCACTAACGTGTCCAAGCAGATCTACCCTTTACAATTATCTTTACTTATTGAGCAAAGCATGCTTTGAGTCATTCTGTAGGTCCATTCCGAAGCTGGAATTGCTTAGTGGAGAAAGGCGAAATAGGAAATTGATATGACACGACCCTGGTGTTGATCAATCTCAAGTTGTATACATTTGAAACTTGGTTAGTCACAATTAATCCCATTTAACTTCTATTAGTGAATCGTTTTTGTTTTCTCTTATAGTTCTAATCTCCTACGCTCCAACACTGTTGCAGACACGAGGATTATTGGAGAAGTGGATCGAAGGATACCAAGAGGCTTTAGAAATATCATCAGACACTGGAGACCGAATAGTAATTGATATTTTATCTTCGGGTTTTGTTGCGATGGGTGGATTATGTTTCGACGAGCAGGATCGAGCGGATGCTAATCTTCCTCAGTTCGCTCGACGAGCGGTCGCGAAATTGGCCTACATAATGAAACCAGAGAATTCACCCTTTAGGTAAAAGGAGCACTTTTGTCCCATTTACCAATCTGCTGTTTAGGATTTTTGTTTTCGAATTTAAGGAAATTGGGAGGTTGTTGCACTCGCCTATTCGTAATGAAAGTATTTGGCTGATGATCTTTCAATCAATTCTTTTTGGTATAAATCATTTTGGGGCAAACTTTCAACAAGTACACTGTCTTAGAAATGTGACAATTGGTGTTCTTCTACTAGTATCCAATCCGTCGAATAGATTGATATGTGACCCACATTTAAAGTCGCTTTTCAGTGTTCCAATATTGTGGTTGGAGTTTCTAAATACTTTGCTCCAAATTGGTTCTTCGTAATCTCTTTTTGAATTGTGAAGTACTGAAAGATTCTCTTTGTTTTGAATGCAGAACCCGAAATCCCTTATCATTGCCAGTGAAACGTCTTTGGTTCTCACTTCTGAGCCGTCATGAACTAAACGAGACGTTTTTACGCTGGATCTTTCATCCAAAGCAACGTGAACAGCCTTCACTTCAGCCAATCAAACTGGAAGTTGCTAATCCTCATAAGACTTCTATCCAATCAGTTGTCTCGATGTCTGCTCAGCCAGAGAAGAAATTGAATTTTGCCTCCGAACAAGGCGTTAAATCGTCTAAGGTACATTTCTTTACCACTTTTCTGTGCATTATAAAGGACTGAGTGCAATATACTCCAACAATTATGCCCTCTTTTTAGGAAAATGAAATTTCATATGACGGAACCATTGGTGTGGGAAGTGATGGAATATTAAAACACAAGTCCTCAATTAACCTAATCCATTGGGAACAGGACCCCATTCTATGCATGTGTGTTGATAAGGTAATGCATGTACTTATGTACTGCTGTTTAAGTTCATACATAGTATCTGCTGTTTTTGTAAATACTTTTACAATCGTTTTTCTTAAACACTATGCTTTTTTTTCTGGTAACTTGGTCTGAGTGATTGTGTGATTCAATGATTCCATGTCATTTTAAGTGCATGCCAACATGCGGACGTATAAATTTCTGAACCCCTTTCTTGCAACCTCTCGGCCGTTAGAGGACGAATTGAGTTATAAAATCGCTTATGATTTTGTTAAAGTAACCTACAATAGTATTGATTATTTATCTGGTTGAAATTAACTTTCATAAATCAATGCAAATTCAACGCCATGCTCCTTCAATAACGTCTGTATCTTACTCTACAGATTGAAGCAACCATCAACTTTAAAGTTCTCAATTGAATTCCAACTGTAACAATCGTGCCATTGCAAGAGTCTTCTAGGTGTTGTTTAAGAAACTTCTCATATAGATATGACTAGCTAATATGGAAAGCCCCAAACTCTGTAGTTGGTTCATGAAAGATAGAAGTTGGGGTCAGAGAGCATCAATGGTGTGTGCCCTTGAGGAAATTGTCAAAATCGTCTGACTCTCAAGGCACCCAAAGGTAAGTATGTATCGGTGCGCTGGTTTCTCCATTGGTCCGCTCAGTATACAGCGTGTGTCCTTTCGTTTGGGTTAGCGATGATGCGAGCATATTTCCAATTCTTCAGTTGCTTCATATCTAGTTGGTTCAAAATTAAATTTATCTCTATTTTATCTTACATATTTTCATAATCCCATAATGCGATAAAGGTTAAGGCTATTCACATGGTCTATTTCTAACACCTTGAACCTGGTTTAAAAAGGCGCAAAGATTCTGTTGTATATTTTCAGCATATAAGTAAGGGGGAATGAAAACTTTTTTGGGGTACTTCCCTGCAATCGATATTGTTAGAGTTCCTTTTAAACCGCTGTATTTCACCCAGTTTCTATTTGAATAAAATATACATCAACTGATTTGGAGGTGGCATTTAACTAAATGTTTTTTATACTGTTCGTTTTAAGTTCAACTATGATGCTGTGGCCCTGGCAACTCCCAAAGAGATAATTGAGGTGTCTATCTCCAATCTTCTCTCGCCGGCTGATTGGATGTTTGATGATTTCGAGTACGACCTTGATGTTATGCGAAAGTGAGTTGAATTCCTGAAAAATCTAGAAACGTGATTGCATTGTTCCCATGTTGGCTCTTACGATTTACAAGCCATTATCCTAGCTACTATGGTGAAGAAAACAAGCTCTCTTTACTTATGGCGAAAATTTATTTCAGTCCAGGTCACCCTGCGTGTGGTGTAGCATGATAATAGATTTAATTGATATTTCATAATTAATTGTAAAAAAATAATGATTTCGTCAAAGGAAAACATTTAATGCATACCCATAATTATATTTTCAATTTGCTGTTTTTCAGTCCTACTCTTAAAAATCAGGAGTGTCAATCCGTAAACGACTTTCTTATCTACGAGAAACCAGGACTTAATTTAAAGGACCAAGTGGATTCACCCATTCCAGGTCCTCGAGGCATTAATTCATCAAACCTGGTGAGTCTCCTCTACTGATATCTTTTGAGTAGTCGCAAATTGTTAGTAATATGTGTACACATGGCTGTGTATAACAGTTTGACGCCCTAATCAGCGCTCCAACTGCTAATCTCTCAGAGCTTATTTTGGAAATCAGTCGAAGGATCGCCCCTACGGTAGATCTTCAGCGTTGTCACTCTGTTGTGCCCCATCTCCTTTCTACCTAAAATGAATTTTTACTAACATCCGTATTTTCTATTTGAAGATTATTAAACGGACCGTCGGTGGCGTCGAAAAACTCTCTTCCCATCCTTTGATGAATTTCTGTAAGTTCTATTAGCTTATCGATAAATTGGTAGTATTTTAATAAAATATTAATTTTTAAGAAGAACTTGGGGTTGTGAACATGCTAGATTTCTTTTAAGCCAAAATGCTCTGTGTAATTTTAGCTTTAGTTCCCTTTAATCCTTAAGATCTTCTGTTCGGTGAAAAGCCTTCACAGAGACTGATGCCTGGGAGACTGCACTCATTTTGCAGAGATGAATGACTTACAATTGTATCACGCGTATTTCGCAACCCTGTTATTGTACTATTCGGCAGAGCCCAGTGTATACACTTGATGGCATACTATATTTAGAGTTAATTGATCAGGCCGTATTAAAGAAAAATCAAGTCGATTGTGGTTTATCTTACAGATCTCTGTGGGACAAATTCGGGTTACGTTCATGCTTTACAATGGGGCGTAATGGAACCGGTCGTACACATGCTTGCCAGCACCTACTCCCTGACTGACAAAGGTCGCACACAAAAAATCACGAGCACAATTAAGGGCAATCCTATATCCACTTTACACCTTGACTCTTTCGGAAAAAGGGTAGGCTTCAAATTTGTTTTCTTAATACTTCTTCTTTAGTTTGGATGTGGTGATACCGCAGGGTACTTCGGTCTTTGGAACGTGGACTTCAACGGCTCCCATAGTTATCCCTACTTCGTAAGTCAGTGTAATATTCCCTATGCTTTGTTTTCATCTAGAGTTGTCGGTGTCATAACAAAGGAGTATTGGACTTTGCTTTTATTGACGGGGGCTCTACAAAATTTGTAACAGTTGGAACTGGAAGCGTTTCAACTTATCCGAATCCCGGTGTTAATATGGCAGCTGCTAATGCAGTTGTAGCAGCCAATCGCCCTGGATTGAAGGTTACTAGCCAATTTGACCTGGAGGCTGCCAATGTGGTTATTTGGGACTCGATGGAACCACTAAAAAGTGCGGCTGTCACTTGTAAGTTATTGATATTCTGACCACCTTAACCCTTTAGCTTACTCTGAGTCACCACTGGATGCTGCTTGTACCTGTGTGACTACCGTTCCCTCTGGCTCGTTCAGTCATCAAATAGCAGTGGGGACAAAGCGAGGAGAAGTTGCGATTATAGATCTACGAAGTAAAAACGTTGTGACCGCCTACAACCCAACAGCCCATGCAGGCTCCGCAGTGCGATCAATAATCTGTGATAGCGCAACTGATACGCTAACAACAGCGAGTGCAGATAATCGCGTTAAAGTTTGGCGTCTATCGAATCCGTGTCAACTCTTATCAACATTCCAACCGGAGGAGTCGAATCCTTCTGTGTCGACTAAAGCGGCACAAGCCTTTCTCCGAGGCAACCAATCAGCAGCTATGATCGTGGCAAGCCGTCCGGGCATCTCTCAACTGTCTTCTTTGCCTTCCACATCCACTGTTGTGGAATACAAGTGTGGAGAGATTCGAGAGAAGCTTCATCTCCTCACCTCTCGCTTTTTGGCATGTGGAGTGGATGGTCGTCTTCAGATGTGCTCTGTCGCACCTTCCCCGGAATCTCTCTGGCTGCATCGTCGTTCGACCTCAATCTCAACTCACTCTCTGTGATACATCTATTTGTTCATCAGACATAGCTATTATCTTTGTGTGGTGATGCTGTTGATTGTTGTAATTTATAATAAAGCATGAAATCATGAAAAATGTATTTCTTACCAACCACTGACAAAAGGCGGAGAACAAAAATTTATTAAAATACAACTCCATAGAAAACAGTAAGAAGGGAAGATTAGTGGGAGAATTGTTCAATGTTGCATTACTGCTCCCGAGTTATGAGCATGAAACATCCCAAAGAACCGATTACTGCGTACTAAAGATATGTTAACTAGAAGGGGCAAAAATACGACAATACCTTTAGTTTAGGATAGTCGTTCATTATAATAGTCACCATTCCAATGTAGGGAAGGAAACTGAAATAAAAATAAGCAAATAATTTGAAAAAAAAGAAGTACGTCACGAAAAGAAACCTACCCTTTTGCTTTGCCCATAATGTGCTTTTCCTCGAGCCAGTCCTGGCCTTGCGGATATAAAGCTCGATCATCCACAGCATTATTATCACCTTTTGTCAGGAACTTAACGGTTCCATTACTAATAAATGAACAAAGTAAGATATTTAAAATTACGATTGATGGACGCGCATAACTCTATGAACTATGGGAATTTCACGATCATAAATTTTGAAAACAGTGATGTCTCCAACATTTAAAGGCTCAGATTCAAAATTAGTCAGAAAAAGAAGATCACCGCGATAAAAAGCTGGTTCCATACTTCCACTGAACAAAATAGCTCACAAAACAAATTACGAACCTAAGAACCACAACAATTGGGCTGGGACTATTTGTGATTAAGATCAAGGATTTCCAAATCATGAGAGCCGAGGAGAGAACCATGGCAAACGTAAGTATTTGATAATAAATCTAAAACTATAGATGGTTAAAGAGTAAAAATACTTGACGTCCATTCATTCTTTTAATTTCCCCAGCAAAATCGCATCCCAAAATCTTACTGCCCATTATGACGACGTAATACAGACTAAGACGTACGCGCAAGTTACTGTTGACCTACAAAACAGCAATAATGATAATTTATTGAAAATAAATTTCGTCAGATCCAGTGAAGTAGCAAAATATATAACAGTTGCCTCTGAAACTTACAAGTTATTATTTCGTTGCAATTGATTAATATTAATGACTGGTAATTTGTTCAATAAATTCTGCATTAATAATAAATAAGCATAATTGAAATCATCACTAATATATTAAATAATTTTTTAAATCAAGATTCTGAAGCAATTATCTTAAATGACATATCAAAACAACGAAATTTCATAGCTTCCTTAATTTCCCTTTCCGCAGTTCAGTTAAATTTATTTTAAAGGTCTGCATCTAGTCTCTCAAGCCTATTATAAACACGTGAAAAGATTCTTAAGCATATAAGTAAGGAAGAATAAAAATGTTGATTATGCACCACTGCAATTAATCCTGTTCGAGGTTATTTTAAATTGATTTATTTCAGCCAATGTATAAATAATAAAATAAAGAATACTTCAACTGATTCTGAGCACATGTACATGCACACGTAGATGTAAATCATAATATTTGATATATTATTTTATCTACCAATTGGTAGCAAATCAAGGATTGGTAATACATTCGTGCATTTTTACAAACGATTCTAACTTAAATTCTTGAAAATTTTTAAACAAAATCAACGATTTGGGCTGCATAATAAGTCTACAAAATATGTATTCTGTAAACAATGGACAGCAATGAAATATCTTTCTAATTTCATATGATGTGTTTTGCGCAGTTAATATACTTACAGATTTTGAGAAAATTGTTATCTTCCATTCGTTGTCGTTTTTTCAAGATAAAGATTGGCTTATTTTTTTGGAAACTGAAACACAATTGGAATTTGCTGAGAATATCAAGGATCTTATGTTTTTAATTACCCACGTTAATGCAATTTTATTTAAATGAATAAAGTAAATAGACTGGAATAATCAGAATGTATCCTAATTTTAACTGTTAGTACTATCTTTAACACAATGTTTGGCTAAAAAATTATAGATACAATAATATTTTAAATCAATTATATTAAATTAAGTTTTTAATTATTTTGATTATGTAATTTATCACAAATTTTTCTAAAAGGATTTTCGCGTTCATTGATTTGCTAGCCTTCTCAACATATTTTTCTGATCCGCTTGTGCACACATTCGCGTAAAATAATTTTGCGCAGGTACTGATATGAATTCGCTTGATGTAAATGGCAGAGTCTCGGTAGTTATATGAACTTATCTTCTATTTAGTATGTTTAGACGGAAAATGTGCGTGAATCTTCGACCTTTGCTCATAAACTAAAATTTATGCGTCGGGTAAGAAAACCAGATAAACGACGGTCGCAAATTTCGTCGGTCCACAACGACGGAGTACCTGATTGCAACCCCAAAGAAGTTGATGTTTCTCCCGATATTGTTACTTCAAAATTGTCGGAATCGCAAGATAAAATTGCCAAAAGTTTAACAGATGAAAACGATAGCTTAAGAAACAAAAACACAACTTTAAGGTATCAAGTTGAACTTCTTTCAGAACAATTAAACGATCTTCGGGATGTCAATAACGATTTAAAAGGTCAAAATAGTCGAATAAGAGAGGTATTTCCTTTTTATATTTCTCTGTTGTTCTGCCTGTTATTATTTCATTGTTTTTCCATTACAAATTTGTATTTCAGTAGTATATTATCGTAAGTACCTTTTACTTATTCATAGTAGCATGTTTACCCTGTTGTAATGCGACCTCCATGTCGTCCTCTTGCTTTTGTTTGATTTTAGTTATTGGTCTAATGATGGATGATGTTGTCTTGTCTGTTTTTTTCAGCTCTACCGACTAGTAATTATACGAATGCTGTCTTTCTTTAATGTTAGCTTTGGATATTTTATATCTTTTTACTAAATATTTTTAACTGGATCTACGTTGTGGTTTAGTGAGTTTCTTTGTTGGGTTAAACCATTGTTTATTGCCAAACATAACTTCTAATTAATCGAGTGTATGCGAATCTATTGCTACTGGAAATTTTCCATGGCGCCAGAGGAGTTTTAGCCTTCTTTAGCTTAGCTCCTGGGAATCATCATTTTTCACGTTTTCCTGACCCTAGTAATTATTGTTGTGTTGAGATTGCCAGTGTGGATGCTTTTACCTTTTTATATTTTATAAAATGTAATGTTACATAGAAACTGAGTCAAATTATAATCCTTTGGAATACCTAACTTTATTGAAGAGCAGTTATGAATTCGAAATCAGTTTCGACATTGCAGGTAGAATTTGTTAGGCTTGTTTTAGACTTGTCAAATTAGTTTCACTTCGGATTCTGTTTTGTTGGAAACCCTTTATAGTTTAATATTCCCATAGTCCTCAACTGCTATTTCTATTTATTTAGGAGTCTAATCTAAAAGGCATCTCTTATTTTCAATCCTGACCTCTTAATAATATGATTGAATGTGATATTTAAGGGTTCGTGAAGGTATTTTTGTATTGAGTTGGAGTTTATGCCGCACCAGCCAAGATTCGTACGATAAAACCTTGGTAAATCGTGTTTTACTTCTCTTCAAATTCACTAAAATTTGCCCATGATATTCTGTTTTGTGAAAATGTTTGCAAATTACCATCGCTTTCTCATTAGCTATGTATGTATGTTTTCCTAGTTGGTTCATACCACTTATCAGTCCTACATTACGTCTTGTTTTTTATTATTTCTCCTTGTCATCCTTTCTTCGTCACCTTTGTGCTGTTCTCTTGACCTTAATTGTGTTAAGATTCTCTTTTCAAAGCAATGTTATATGTTAAAGCTTTCCGATTGAGGAGCAGAAGCGTTTCTTTGAATTACAGAGGAAAGTCTTTTCCAGCGCTTAATTTTAGTTAATTGAATGCAACCCGAAATCCTTTTGATTCCCTTGCCAGACGCCTGTTCCAACTGCAAATTTGTCTGTTTGCTGAATTTGCAACTAATTCTAACCAACTAGCAACAGATATCACCTCAATCTTATCATGAAATTTTGTTTTAGTCTTCTTGCTGCTTGCCTTTCTTCTGGAAATTAGACGAGAGTGCTGTTTATAATTTTTTATCTGAATTTTAGACAAGCTACAACATCCCTTGGATTTCACCCTACACTTTCTTAGATTTTTATTTAATCGAGTTGATATTATTTAACTTCTAAAGGCCTACTTTACTTTTGATATTGATGAAAAGCTTGTTTTTTTCTACTCTGTTGCCATCTCCTGAAGTCTACTATTTTCCTCGCCATCGCTTTTGAGTTCACTTTGCGTGTTCTTTATACCTTATCACTCATTTGGAAACATTTAGGTTTAATGAAGATAATTATTCAATTTTATCGTGTCCATTTATTACTTTGTTTGTTTGGCTAATAATTGTAACTTATTGTATTCTTTAACGTTGCAAACTGAAATTGGTGGTATCTTGCTATCTAAGAAGCATTTATTGATTGGAAGCGGGAAACAGAGGGTAATTCATTTCTATTACCTAGAATTGTCGATCCATTTTCTTTCCGACATCATTTTAACGTAATTATTATAGTTTATGTCTGTTAAAGTCTACTGTAGATTGGAAGGTGGCATCGGATGAGTTTTTTAGCTGACTGCTTTTGCTTCCAGTTTTTTCAAGCGGAAGAAAACGCGGGTATTAGTGATGTCTGCCACTTCTTCACATCTGACCGTTATGAGATTCCCAATGTCTCCGAACCAATCTGTCCATGTTGGACTTAACTACATTTTCCTTTTTCAAATCGGTTTCAACTCTGCTAATGTAGTTTCACATACAGTTTGGGTATGCACTATTCAATAACAGCAAGGCATTAAGCCAAGCACGTCAGTAATTTTATGGTACAATCCACATTCGTCGTGCTTAATTAGCATAACATTTACTGTCATATTCATTCTGAGTCACTTCTGAGCTTACGAATAATTTATTTTCTATTAAGCAGTGAAAACTTTAGAAATTACTTTAAAATGTCCCGTAACCTTTACAAGCCTGGTTAAATCTGTTTATCCCACACTTAGCCTAGTTCTATGTAGCGCGTTGATTTAAGGTAACTTAACAAAATTAGATATGCCTCATTAAATAATAGGATTGGAGTGAGCTGTTATTTGTCCTTGTAAGAGAAAGGTTCATCATATTTCACTACACCTTATGTATATCGGCATTATCTTATCGTATTTTAGATCTTGCGGTTTGCCTATGTTTCAATAAGTCTCGAAATATACATGGATTTTATGTGAAATTATTTGGTTACTTCATTTCATTGGCTTTGAAAAGCGTTCCGCAAAGCTTCACTTTATTTTCTGATTTGATATGTGGATTCGGAGTAATATTCACTTTATCTACTACTTCCATTATTCATTTGGTCGAAACCACTACGTTATTAACAAGATTAAATTGAAAAAGTCGAAGGTGTTGTGTGTGGTGGTTTCATGGTATCCTGTTTTTGAGTTTATGTCCCCCCAATCATGTAGATTTCGCTATCCCTTAGTCTCCGTTCAAGAACTGAGATGTTCCTGGCTGTGTATTTTACTTCATTTTTATTGAAACCATGTTTACTTAAACAATTTAAGTAATTTGTTAAATTACAGGAAAATAGTATTCTCCGAAATGAACAATCTCAACTCACAGCACGGAACGATTGCTTAGTAGAGCAGATTATCTTGCTACAAAAGATGCTTGAAGACATGGGTGTCACCATAGACGAAGAGGGTAGCTTTGTGATCAGCAGGGGCACAGACTCGCCAAACCTTGAATTTGTGGCTCGTGAAGAAGAAACCGAAAATTCCTGCAACGGAACCTCTACAAATCCCGCTTCCTATCGGAAACCTCCTGCTTGTGATAGTAAACTCGATTTCCTTTAGTTGGGTTGAGACGGAGAGCATACTTTACTCTTTACAAGTCAATGATGACGACATTGCATTCCTGATATCTTCCTTTTTTCTTACTTCCTGTATTCTAAAACTACTCGTGATAATATTAAAGATATTTGTACTGGAAAGGGCGCGATTCCTTACTCAGCTTCATGTAATTTATCTCTTTTTCCTTTATCCTAATTCCCTTAGTGATGGTTATTATTTGGGAAGTTATCATTATTGGTTTTTTGATCATCATTAATAAATTTACTGATATTATTTTTGTTACTTTTTTGAAATCTCACCAGGGTTTCACTTTATCATTTATTTATTGAGAACTATGCAATTACTCTTTCTTTGTTTTTTTCTTGTTAAATTGGGGTAGATTGTCGTTTTAATGCGGGTTTTGACTAAATTTTTATCTATATTGTGTTCAACTATTTGTCAAGTGGTCGTCATCTGTATTTAAAAGCGTTTGCCAAACTGGTTGCTTCTCAAGATCTTACCTTATGGGAAAATCAGTTTTGCGATCGCTGACTTTACTCTCCCAGATGAAGCGACAACTAATGGTGCAATTTCTTTGAATTTTGATTCCGTGATTATAAGCATACCAATTTACTTGTCTCATTGGCGCATGATTTGTCTTGGAAATAGCAGTATCATTTTCTGTGGCCTGTGGTTACTATCGTTTATAGAAGGTATAGGTTACTCTGCCTGAGGTGTTGACAGGACAGCTATCATCCATTCGATGGCCTTCAGTAACCAGTCGTCTAAACGAATCTCCACTAAGAACTTTATTTATATCAAATGGCAGGCATTTTGATAGTTATCAT